GGACCGCTGGTTTGGTTGCTCTCATGATCCCCTGGAGTGGGAGGAGACGGTGCAGCCGGGGTTGACGTCAGTCGGTGCCGCGGTGAGCCGGCGGGGCCTGGATTCCCTCCCAGCTCCGGGGACCAAATCCAGGGAAGCACACAGGCAGTCTGGTGCCAACAAGGCCGGAGCGGTCCAGCTGCGGCTCCCAGCCTAACCTCCCATCTGGCTCTGGGAGGGTGGAGGGGGTCACCGAGGTTTGGCGGCGGCTGCGGCAAGGCGGTGTTGGAGCGGGGCTGAAGCTGGGAACTGGCCCCAGGAGCAGACCATCCCAGGGCAGGACTTCCCCACTGGATCCTTCAGGAGGTCGGTTCATTCTGTCACGCATGCAGGTGAGTCGAGCCGGAGGTGAGAATCCACACACTGGGGACGAAGCAGGCAGGCAGGCAGACTGGAACGTTGAAGAGGTTTTATTCAGGAGCATGCAGGACAAGGGAACAATGAACCAACAAGACACACTAGTGATGGGACGAACGACACTGGCGCGTCACCACAGTGTCGAGTGCACAAGAGCGAACCCCTGTATTGGTGCGTGTATCGCTTTAAGAAAATATCATGTGACCGATACAGGAAGTGTGTCGTTTGGATGTGCCTCGCCAAATTGTGTTTAAAAGGAAACAAACTGTATCGTCATGTTGCGGATTTGTTGGATGGAGTTTTGCTGTTGGATTTGGGATTTTTCCTTACCCTCACGCTCACTTTTCTCCGCTGACTTCATGGATCGTTCCAAGAAGTTTTCCCCAGTCTGGAATGATTTAGATCTTTTGATGCCAAACAAAGGTAAATTGTTTTCTCCTTTTGGCAATGTTTACCATTATTTCTGTATTTTACGTGTGTTTGTAGTCTTTCTCTGGTAAGAGGCTTAAATTGTTTTCAGATAAATTAACTATTTATTTTATTGTAGGTGAAGTGACAGCTCTGCTCCACAGAGCTGTCTTACACCAATAAGAGCACTTCAATGCTGAGGCATTATAGAGCTCGGCATGGCAATGATGAATTGGCAGATACCCCAGGTATGTTGAAATTATCACTAAAAATCAGAATTGTCAAAAATAGTCTATAACTCACAAAAGGCTTTGTGTGACTTTGTAGTTTGTTCTACCAAGCAGGAAGGTATGTTTAAGAAATGTTTGGTTTAATTAATCAAGTACTTTCATGATGTGTGTGTGTGTGTGTGTGTGTGTGTGTGTGTGTGTGTGTGTGTGTGTGTGTGTGTGTGTGTGTGTGTGTGTGTGTGTGTGTGTGTGTGTTTATGTAATATTGGTATTACAGTATTGGTATGTTTATTTGTAGGTCATCAAGGACTTGGTGAGCCCACAGTCTATGGGTGAGCCAGAAATATGAGGAAAAGGAGAAAACAAAAAAGGACCTCCAGAGCGTCATTGCTGTTAGTTTAACAGCTGATATGTGGACCTCCATTAATATGGAGGCATATCTTGCTGTTACTTGCCACCGGTGTTGGGAGTAACGCGGTACAAAAGTTATTAACTACTGTAATGCATTGCTCTTTGCTGTAATGTGGTAATGTAAGGCATTACAGGGAAAGAAGATGGTAATATTTACTCGGTACAATTGTCAGTAACGCGGTAATTACAATGCATTTTAAACCCAGAATCAAGATGTGGGTTTCCTAAATATTCTAATTGCGGGAAGCCTGAAACAAGATCCAGTATCCACATATATGACGTCATTTATGGACTCAGCTTTGCGGGCATTCTATGAGCAGAGAGGACGCAGCGGTAACGGCTCAAATACTCCAGCTGCGTCCTGCGCGCGGCCGCTGTTATATTCACAAAACCGCTCCACCAAAACAAAGTCATTCATTTGTGGTCATTTATATCAGCCCATATTCTCTGGTACTTCATGTACTTTTCAGCTGAGTTCATAATCTGTGTCCCCGTGATTTCAACTCATTGCATTATTTTTTTTTTTTTTTTGCGTTTTGTAGATCCCTTTGTTTGATTAGTAAGTAGTAGTAGAAAGTAGGAAGTCTAGGAAACAGTTTTTCTGGAAGACGGAGAAAACATGCAGCATGCAGGAAGGTTAGAGAGAGAAAGGGCCGGAAATTATTCACATAAAATCAAGAAAACAAACCAAAGTGCTTGAAAAGAAAAAAAGTAGGTAGATTTATCCCCAATACACATTTTTACCAGTGAAAAGCAATAATATATAAGCATTTAATATTTATACATGTGATAGAATCAGATCACCCCAGAAGTCAGTCCCACATCCAGGGCCGTATCAAGGCATTTGGGGACCAAGGCAAATATAGGCTTGGAGCCCCCACCACCTCACTCCCTGCTCAGTTAATATAAGATGGCAGCGTGCTGAGAGTACAGATTGTTGTTGCTTTTATTTAATAAACAATCATTTTAAAGCACTGTTATTATATCTGACTGTTTTTAACAGCAACCCTAGCTCAGACACCACATCACCTTCCACATATATGTCATGAGCTCACTGAGCGTCACATGACCAGATTCATACTGAAGTTGTTTGCTTGCCACTATGTGGACAAAGAAAGCCATGAACTCTGTTCATCAGTCTTGGGAGTGCAGCGTTTCCCTCAGAAACACACTGCAGAAAACATGGCCACAGTTAGAAGGAGCCTCACGGAGGAGTGGGGCATAGCAGGCAAAGTCAGGTGTCTTGTCACTGATGCAGCAGCAAACATGCATGTGCTTGATTGCTGCGAGTACGGCAAACCATTAGCATTGCCCATTCCATGAATTTAATTGTAAGAAAATCATGTGATCAAATCTCAACACTAACAGAACTACGCAACAAAACGCGACAAATTGTGACATACTTTCGATCAAGCACCACAGCCAAGGAAAAGCTCTCTCAAATGCAGCAACAGCTGGGAACACCATTGCATGAATAAACAAATGAGGTGCCGACACGATGGAACGGCACTACCACATGCTGGAGAATGACTGAGCAGAAGGAGGCAGTCTGGGTGTCACTGGCCTCATCAAAAACTGATCTCACTCCACTGACTCCAGAGGAATTTGAAATCATTGAAGAGATGCTCGGAGTGCTTGCTCCGCTTTTTACCAAGCCACAAGAGAACTCTCTGAAGAACAAAGAGTCTCGGGGTCAAAGGTTATTCCATTGATGAGAATGATCCACATTGAGCTTCAACATCAATCTTCAACGGTGACTAAACCCACTGCTAAACAGCTGGCTGAAAATCTGTCAAAGCGGCCAAGTGAGTCCATCTGTAACATGGAATCGCTCAGTGTGATGTCACTGGCAAGATTGTTGGACCCCAGGTTTAAAACTGCTGGCTTTTTTAGTCCACTGAAAGCAACTGAAGCTGTCAAGAGACTGAAGTCAGAGTGTGCTGCTGAAATGAGGAGCCATGAGCCTGACCCAGCAGTAGAGGAGCCCTTCACATGGATCAGAACACAGCTCAGGTATGAAAACACATTTCTTTGTGAATATTTGTTTATTTCTGTGGAAGTTTGTCATGTGATAGTAAACCAATGATTAACAGACTTATTTCTAATATATTTGGTAGGACACAATCTCTGGAGACACCTGGAGGTTGAGGAGAGCAGGATGACCTCTAATACTACAGCCAATGCCATAATTGAAGTCCAACGCTACCTGGCTGAAAGCAACACACCAAGAACACAAGACCCATTACAATATTGGAAAAATAACCAGAATTTATATCCACACCTTTATCAACTCGCACTTCAATTCTTATGCACACCATCTTCATCTGTACCCTGTGAAAGAGTGTTTTCTAAGGCAGGGGAACTGGTGTCTAAGAGAAGAAAATGCTTTGGAGCAAACACACTTCAAAACGGGCCTGGATGTAGCCATGGGCAAGGAGGGGCAATGCCCCCCTAAAAATAGTAGCAGCCCCCCCAAATGCGATGACGTCGAAATCCCAAATTTGAAAAGATCTGATGAAAAAGGGTAAGAGTGCTCTCTCTCTCTCTCTCTCTCTCTCTCTCTCTCTCTCTCTCTCTCTCTCTCTCTCTCTCTCTCTCTCTCTCTCTCTCTCTCTCTCTCTCTCTCTCTCTCTCTCTCTTCTCTCTCTCTCTCTCTCTCTCTCTCTCTCTCTCTCTCTCTCTCTCTCTCTCTCCAAGCCCCCACAATGGAGCTCTAAAATCTCTCTCTCTCCAAGCCCCCACAATGGAGCTCTAAAATCTCTCTCTCTCCAAGCCCCCACAATGGAGCTCTAAAATTGAGTCAAACCCGGAAGTACCAGCAATTGCAGTTCCACCCTCATCCACTGGGGGCTGTGTCAGAAGCGAGCAAATCCTCATTGACTCCCATGTTAAAATACCGATTTCACAGCAGAAATAAACATGTTTACAGCCTGGTACCAAAACATGTTTTTGGTTAAATGATCTAGTTTACACTCATGACAACTCTGAGGGGGGTGAATTTTTTCTCACTCTTCTGTTTAAGTGTATTAAAAGCCTAAAATTCTGTATAATTAATGAGCATCAGACCCACGTGACCACAGAGCTAGCTCCGTGGAAAGGCCTCAGTACAGCCTCGGTCTGGCCTGGAAACTGTTCCGGGATTTTGAGTCTCTGTGTTTGTGTATTCTGTTTTGGATTTTTTTTTTTTGTGCAATTGTTGGACAAAATGACTTGCCGTGGCATTAATTGCACTAATAGAGCGTCCAAGGAGTCTCCACTTCATTTTTTTTCGGTAAGTAAAATTATATTTATGTATTTTAGGTCACTGCCGAGCTGAGCTTAGATGTTAACATGTACTGTTTAACCATGAAATTTAAATGTAATAGGGTAAAACCCAGTGCATTTAACATAATGCTGTACTTTAGAAAATGGGTTGAAATATAACATGTTGGTGGAGCTGGGTTCCGACTATCGGCTTGTGGAGCTCTCGGGAGACCCATGTTTTCCACCCGTTCTCCCCTCCCCGCAGCTCGGCGCATCTCTGTCTGATCGCGGCTTCTGTGTGCTGCGTGGGCTGTCTGCTTGTGGAGCTCTGGGATGGAAACCTTTCCACCCGGTTCTCCCCAGCGGTAGCTCTGCGCATCTCAGATCGCAGCGGCGCTTGTCTGCTGTGCGGCTGCCGGCTTGTGGAGCTCTCGGAGACCTCTGTGTTCCACCCGGTTTTACCCAGCGGTCAGTCCGGCGTATCTCTGACTCAGAAGCTCTGGTGTTGTGCACAGTTAACTCCGGTTGTAGCTAGGTTGCTACCTCCGTTAGCTTAGCTCCCACCTCCGCGTTAGCTTTGGGTTAGCTTGTAGCTAGTCCGACCGGGTGTCGTCAGTTGATCCCAGCCTTACAGCCCCACCCTCAGCTCCTGCTCTCTTCCCTTTTATGGAATTGTCTGGGCTTGACGGGACCTGTGACACGGTCAAAATGGCGGTGGTGGCCACCTCCCATTTGGCTTCAAAAAAGTAATATTGGAGTCTTTGGAATCCCATTGTCCATATATTAATGTCGATGTCTTTCTCTCTCTCTCTCCCTCCCTCAAAGTAGCTGCTGATTGGCAGATGCATAGGGAGGGTGTGGCCAGCCACTGCACTTCGTTCTCTGTGTCTCACTCCTCGGACAGTCAGCAGCAGAACACAGAGACGCACCGTTGTTATCTGAGCTCAGCCACTGAAGTTTTCTTCTGCTGTTGGTCACTGGAACTATTTGGTACTCTTTCTCAAGGCTTTAGTTTGCCTCGTTCTCGTCTTTAAATTGTTTTTGAAGTGAACCGAGTCGACAATGCGCAGGTTTCTGGTTTCTAAACCGAGCAACAGTGCTAAGGCACTAGCGGCAGAAGCCGGCTCGTCGGCTCCTGCTTCTCAACTCGCCACAACCAGTTGCACAAGCACCACAGCCCCTCCTGCTGTCCCCATCGCTACCAACCCAGCCGTTGCTGTGGGTGACACAGGCCTGAACAGAAGCGCACCATCCCAACCCACCGCTCGTGTTTTCCCCAAGCGCCATTTTGGGAAGAACATGCGCTCATTTTGCCCTACCTGGTATCGTGGGAGACCATGGCTGGAATATTCAGTATAGCTGGATGCGTGCTTTTGTTTCCCATGTCGTAAGTTTGGGGGGAAGAACAATGAAAGGGATTTGGTTTTCATAAAACAAGGATTTAATAATTGGAAAACAGCACTGGAAAAGGGCAAGGGATTCACAAAGCATGCATCAAGACAATGCCACATAAAAAATGAAAAAGCTGGTCTGAAATGTCCCAAAGAGTGAACACAGGGGAAATGATAGGTAATTTAATAAGTCCCACACAAATAGAGAAAAACAGATACTACGTAAAAACTGTTGGAGAAGTAGTTCAGTTCCTAGCAGTAAATGAACTGGTGTGGACAGCTCCAGTGGTGATGATTTCTCTGCAGGACTGTTCTTAAAAATGGTCGACTACACACTGGCCAAAGACTCCAAATTTAATGAAATAAACAAACACATCCCAGAATATGCAAAATACACATCTCACAACATACAAAACTAATTATTGCAACACTGGCAAAAATGGTATTAAAATGATCAAAGATAATTATGACAAAGCTGATTATGCTGGGTTTTGCATTAAAAGTGATGGAACTAGGGACAGATGTGGAGAATCAGTCGTGACGCCTTGGCTACATTTCCTGCAAGACTGAGAGGAGGAGAGCCACCTTTGTCCCCAAAGCCATTCTGCTCTTTACTTCCAGCAGATAAAGATAAGAGCATCCCCTCCATAAACCCTCTCCTTGGACTCTCCATATATTTAATTTTTATACAGCCGGCACTTTAGTCACTTTATTCACTTCCTCAGTGGTTTTTTTACTAACTTTATTCATCTTTGTTATTGCATTTAACATTTTGCTTGCATATTTGACTGATTTTATCCATCTTCTTGCTGCATTATTCCTTTTCGTATTGCCTATTTACTCAGTGTTCGTTTGTCCAACGTCATGCTGCTCTGCTGCTATTTTTCAATTGCCCCTTGGGTATAAATAAAGTTTTTCTGATTCTGATTCACATCACATTCCAGAAGGTAATCAAAAAGGTGGCAATGAAAAGGAAAATGCTGGAACCTGTTTTACCAGTTCTCAGGAACTGGGACTCAGTCTCCCCCCACAAGCAACAATAAGGAGTTTCAGCTCAGTCGCCTGCTCATAAATACCAGCATCAGAGCAGAGGAGATGCATCCTCAGCAGTCCTTCATCCAGACTCTCTAAGCTCCGAAGGTGAGATGATTGCACTAAACCAGCTCACTCCTCTATCAGATGACTTGATGTTGACTCTTTTAATTTTTTATTTCTTTTCAGATATAGCCAAGCAGACAATGACAAGTAAGAGCATTCTTTATTTCTCCTTTGAATTGTTTTCTACTTTTCTTCAGTTTTGACATTCATGAGATCTGCTCTGTGGTTCTACTTTGCTCTGCCTGGTAGCTGTGTGCTCTGACAGCTTCATGAATCTTGGGTTCACAGGTGAAAGCTTTAAGCAGGAGTTCTTGGACACCCACAACAAGTACAGGTCAATGCACAATGCTGGGCCACTGAGGTACAACGACGGTATGTGTGCCAAGGCTCAGGAGTGGGCCGAACACTTGCTGCAAATTCAACGCCTGCAGCACAGTGGCACAGACGATGGAGAGAATGTTTTCTACTTGCAGGGTCCTGATCTAGCAAATGTAAAAGGTGTGTTGTGATTTATCACTGCTGCTTACAACTGTATTTTCTCTTTCCAAGATGTCAAATGTTTGGGTTTAATCTTTGAGGACAGAGAGCTCATCTGCAGTGAAACAGCCGAGATTTAGTTTTTACATTTTTGTTTCCAGGAAACAAAGCTGTGGATTCATGGTACAGTGAGATCAAAGATTATGATTTCAGCTCACCAAGATTCCAAAGAGGAACAGGTAAAACTAATTACACCCCACAACCACAAGAATCTGCATTCACACAGAAAGCAGATTTCAAATGCTTACACCAGTAGAGACGTGCGGATCGCCATCACTCCAACCGTGAGACGGGAAAAACCAGGAGTTTAAACTCAGACAACATAAACACTTTTATAAAACGAGGAGAAAGAAAAACAAAGAAAGCAGACTCGTGAAGATTAAAGTCAGAGTTTAAGAACTTAAAGTGGCCAATCAAAGACCCTGAGGTTCACCAGAGTCCTACTGTAATTGTGCTGTTTTTTATTTTTGTAACTGAGGGTTCTGAGTATTTTTTCACTGACTAAATATATATAAAAGATTTTCTAGAAGGTTTGAGGTTTATTGACAATAAAATGTTTTTGAAACTTCAGGTGTTTTGAGGTGTGTGTTTGAGAAGGTAGCTGAAACACCACATTCCAACATTTTGACTTTGATTGCGACATTTTTGTCTTGCGTTCCTGCTAAGTGGCCCTAATATCCGCCGCCACCACACCACCACACCAGCAGCTGATCAGAGGACCAGGATAGAGTGAGCTCTGCAGTCAGATCTAAAGCCTGGTTCACACGTCAAGGCTTTTAAAGTGTCAGCCAATTTTGCAAACATGAGAGACCACCCACGTGCTGGTAAGACATCACAGATATACCAGTTTTGGTCCCACAGTGTGTGGTGTGTGACGACACGGCAAACACACTACACACAAATCACCTTCAATCACCAGCATTCCTCGCTCATACAGGAAATGTGAGTGCTCTGAACGCACCATGAAAAGGTAGAATTATCAGATAAGGTTATCTTTGGATTTGTTATGGTAATCATGCACATTTTAAAGATTGTTGAAACCACGTTTAACCTGCTGCTGTGCTTCTCCCTGCAGGTCATTTCACTCAGGTGGTTTGGAAAGAAACCACTGAACTAGGAGTGGGAGTGGCCAGCAGGAACGGAATGACATTTGTGGTTGGACAGTACCGCCCAGCTGGTAACATCAACAACCACGGGTACTTTGACAAAAATGTCTCACGAAAAGGTAACATATCAGCTTCATTCACAGGCTGCTAAGATTTTTGTCTTGTTACAACACATTCTCACTCCAGCCACCCTCCACGTCAGACCCCTGACGCCAAAAGCGCCCTTTTTCGTTACTTATGTGCAAAAAGGGGTTTTTCCCTTATTTGACTGCAGATCCCAATGCAGCGTTACACTGACGCGATGGGATGTCCGTAGCCAGGGCACCAAACAAGCTCATTATACCTCACCCTAACCTTATCCTCTTATTTAACCTTCCCCTCACCCCTATCCTAACCTTAACCATCTTGCTAGCGAACACGTTAGTGATGTGTCGGTCGCTCTAAAAGCCGGCTGTATGAAGTGAACGGTGGGAGCCGCCTCGTCATTGGTCGAGTTTGGACCGAGCCAATGCGAGGGGGAGGTTTCAACTACCACGGTGGAGGTTAAAAGTAGAGGGTATGTGTAACCTCCCCCTCGCCAGCTGGTATGTTCTAACGTTCCCCTTGGGCGGCAAATACGAAAATTCACAGTCAGACTCTGACTGTCAGAGTCAGAATGCATGGGAAACAAACGCTCGATCACAGTGAGAGTAACGTTTTAGGTAGCAAGAGGGTTAAGGTTAGGATGAGGGAGAGGGGAAGGTTATAAATAGTGAAACGTTAAGGTTTAGGTGCGGTTAAATGAGCTGGTTCGGTGCCGCATCAGCGGATATCTCATCACGTCAGTTTTACGCTGCATTGGGATCTGCAGTTACAAAAGAGAAAAACCCCTTTTTTTTCCGCACACGTCATTTAGAGAATGATGCCCCGTCGCCCTTTTCACCAATCACCTTCAAACGTCTGCTATATACCCTTAAGACATAGGGGGAAAAAATTCAACCGTCGGATTTTAAATAAGTATAAAGGTGTGGGCGTGGCTGAGCCTCAAACTTTGACCCGTTTCTACACCACTCTTTTTTCACATTTCCCTATTGGACTCCTTTCACCTAATCACCAGCAATCTCTGGCAAATAGTAGTAGACAAGTTGGGGTCACTTGGTGTCATGTATTGGCAGGTTTCAAAAAAAGGCGGGGCTTTGGGAGCGTGGTGAAATTTGCCATCACGCCATGGCAATACGTTTGCCTATCATTTCCCTCAGTTATCGTGATATCGCCACGAAATTTCTGGTGAGTGATCCTAGTCTGACCCCCAATAGAAATGAACATCATAAGTTGGTGGGTGTGGCCTATTTCTGAAATAACACCCCCTAGAACCATTATAACTGTCAGCCCCAGCACCAAACACATTGATGTGGTTGCTGGTTCAAACCCCTTTAGCTCCACCCCTTTCAGCTCTCTGGCTCTAGATAACACACACAACGTCTGATTCATGCCAAAAACACAGAAAACCATCTTTGTCAACCAAAGCCGACCTCAATGGGATTTTTCTGTAGTTGGTCACAGGCCCCCTAGATAGATTTAACCTTCAATAACTTCAAAAAACGTGGTCCGAATAGCATTAAACTTGTTCTTTGTCATCACACCACCACTGTCGTAAAGATAGAGTATCCCTTATTAGTGAGATTTGTAATTTAATGGTGGGCTTAGAGGAGATGCTGTGTCAGGGTGAGGTGCAGACGAGGAGACCGTCCGCGGTCTCTGGTGTCAGGGTGGTTGACGTTTCTGTTCCGCAGGCGTGCCCCGGGCATGCCAGCCAGGCCGGAGCGGCG